GTCATGTATGGATGTGAGAGTTGGACTATAAAGAAAGCTGAGCACCAAAGAATTGATGCTTTTGAACTGTGGTGTTGGAGAAGACTCTTGAGAGTCCCTTGGGCTGCACAGAGATCAAACCAGTCAATCCTAAAGGAAATCAGTCCTAAATATTCATTGCATGGACTGATGCTGAAGCTGGAGCCCCAATATTTTGGCCACCTGATACGAAGAATGGAGTCATTGGAAAAGACCCTGATGCTGGGAAAGACTGAAGGCAGGAGGGGAAGGGGATGACAGAGGGTGAAATGGTAGGATGGCATCACCAACTCAATGGACATGAGTTTGAGCAAGCTCTGGGAGATAGTGAAGGACAGGAAATCCGAGTGTGCTGGAGTTCATGCGGTTGCAGAGTCAGACACGACTTAGTGACTAAACAGTAAGATATGGAAGCCACCTAAGGGTAGTAATGGGTGAAAAAGATGTGGTATGTATACAATGAAATATTACCCAGGCACAAAAAGAATGAAATCTTTCCATTTATGACAGCATTGATGGACCTAGAGGGTATTATGCAAAGTAAAATGTCAGTCAGAGAAAGACAAATACCATATGATTTCATTTATATGTGGGATCTACAAAATAAAACAAATGGGCTAATAAAACAGAACTAGATTCATGGATACAGAGAACAAGTGATTGACTGAGAGGAGGTGGTTGGGAGGATGCACAACATAAAAGAAGTGGATTAAAAGGCACAGACTTCCAGTTATCAAGTAGATAAGCCATGAGGCTATGACATACACAATAGACAATATAGTCAATAGTTCTGTACTTACTCTAAATGGTGACAGATGGGAACAAGACATCCTGGTGATCAACTTGCTTTGATCTTGTAAATGTCGAATTGCTATCTTGTACACCATCTGGTCTTGGCATCAGAGAAATGCTGTCCTCATGAAATGAGTTGAGGATTCCCTCCTTTTGTATTTTCTTAAGGCTTTGTGTAGAACTGCTCTCATCTATTCCTTAAATGTTTGGTAGAATTCCCCAGTGAGGACACAGGGTTTATAGTACTCTTTGTGAGAAGGTTTAAGCTGTCAAATTTATAGGCACACAGTGTTTTGTTTTCTTCCTTATTATTCTTCAAACGTCTGTAGGGTATTTTGCGCTGTTCTCCTTTTCACCCTTGTAATTGGTGATTTGTATCTTTTTTCCTGTCAGACTGTCTGTAAGTTTATCTGTTTCATCTATTTTCTCTAGGAACCAGGCTGATTTCTTTGATTATCCCTGTTTTGTGTCTCTTCTCAATTTCATGGATTTCTAACTATTATTTCCTTGTGTTTTCTTGCTTTGGGTTTAATTTGCTCTTCTTTTTTAGTTTCTTAGGGTAGAACTTAGATGATTGATCTGAGACTTTTCTGTTTTTCTAACATAAGTATTTCACACTAAAAATATCTTTCTGAGCAATACTTTTGCTGTACCCCACATCTTTTGATACATTGATCTGCGGTGTTCTAATTTTATTTGATTCAAAACACTTCTTAACTGTTCTTTTGACTGCTTCTTTGACTCATGGGTTCCTTAGCAGTGTCTTGCATACTTTTCAAATATTTGGGAATTATACATATAGCTTGTTTTGATTTCTGCATTCATTATATTGTGATCAGGTACTATACAGGTAAAAGTTTCAATATTTTAGAAATAAATGTGTTAAAAAATAAAGTGTGATATAAGAGAATGTCCCATGTACATTTGGAAAGAATAAATATTTTGCTATCATTCAGTATCTCCTTCAAGAATCACATATCCTCCTGTGTCTCCCTGCTTTCAGTTAACGTGAAGTCATCAATCACTGTTGTTGAAACAATTTTTTTCCAGAAGTTAACAATGTTATCAGTGAGTGGGTTAGTCTTTCTTTTTCTGTGTGTGATTCACTATTTTTTATTATTGTAGCTGACATACAATATTGTATTAATTTCAGGTATATAACATAGTGATTTGATATTTTTTATTCATTATGCTAGTTACCCTCTGTCACCATGGAAAACTGTTAAAATATTATTGACTCTATTTCCTATGCATATATTATATTCCTGTGACTTATTTATAACTGGAGGTCTGCACCTTGCTAATTCCCTCACCATTTGTCTGTCCTCCCTCGTCCCTCCGCTCTGGCAACTGTCAGTTTGCTCTCTGTATTTATGAGCCTGTTTCTGTTTTGTTTGTTCCTTTGTTTTGCTTCTTAGATTCCACATATAAATGAAATCATAAGGTATTTGCTTTTCTCTAACTTAGTTCACTTAGCATAGCACCTTCTATGTCTACAGTATTGCCACAAACGGCAAGATTTCACTTTTTTATGGCTGAGTAACATTCCATCACACACACACACTATACCACACCACATCTTCTTTATCCACTCATATATTGATGGACACTTAGTGGGTTAGTCTTTTAATATTCCTGTAGCCAGAACTGTCAGAGATCTTGTAATACAAGATAAAATTTTCTTATTTCTTAAGCCAGGGTGTGTTGAGTTTTCTGGTGCTTTCAAACAAACAGGAAAACCAAAAAGTTCTAGCTCATGCATATACACAGTAACTCATGATGTATAAATTGGAATGCCAAGGACATGTGGAGTGACTGGTGGGGAACTCTACAACTAGAATTATCTTTTAATTTGATTTGACCAATATTTAATTGAATTAGAAGTCAATTTAGCAAGAGGAGTAACTATTTATGACTGTTTTGTTTACTTGTAGGTAAAACTATTTATGAAGTGCTTCCATGGTATTTGCAGACTCAGGAGGAAATAAATGGAAATATTATTACCTTTACACGCCGGAGGGTCACTGCTCCATCTGTCATGATCGACACAAACAAGCCTGCTCTCTCCAACAAGAGAATATTCATCTGATCCATTTGAAGGATCACACATATAAGTTACTATTTCATTATATTGATATTCATCCTTGTAAATGGTAAATCTTCCATTTTTTATATTTCCAGGTGTGGAACACAAGATCTCTTTAAAGCGGGGAAAGGACATGAAGCAAAGATAAAATAGTAAGACAGCATTAGCAAAGCCCTATGAACTTCCTTCAAATAATTCATAACATATGATTAATATAAGCTAGCTGTGACTCCAATATCCAATTAGAAGAAAGTCTCTATGTCAAAATGTATTATCTCAAATTCAAACCATTAATTTAGAAGTTAACTTTTAGAATAAAGCTTATTTTCTGAAATATGATATACATATATTTATCTGCAAGGCCATTCTAAGTTTTGTTTCATCATCATAAAAGAGGCTGACAATTTAATGCTAAAATGTACTTGTGATTAAAGAAAATCCTTTATGATTTATGAATATCTCCACTAACAAATTTATTGTTAACATTGATATTGAGTATTACTGTCATTTTTCAATTTCATCCCTATGAGAGTATGTTTCAATTTTTCAGAGGCTACAAACTGTGTGATTTTGCAATAGGCTGAATCCAAAAGTCTTCCTTTAAGCCAGATATTAAAGTAATTTGCAGACTTCCTTGGTGGTACAGTGGATAGGAATCCATATGTCAGTGCAGAGGACATAGGTTTGATCCCTGGTCTGGGCAGATTCCACATGGTGTGGGAAGCTAAACTTGTGGGCCACAACTACTGAAGCCAGAGCTTTCCAGGACCTGCAAACTGCAACTAATGAGCGTCTGTGCTGCAGCTACTGAAGTCCTGCGTCGAGAGCCTGAGCTCTGCAACAAGAGAAGTCACCACAATGAGAGGCCTGTGCACGAAAAGACTAGCCTCCAGGATTCTCGCCTAGAGAATCCTGTGGACAGAGGAGCCTGGTGAGCTGCTGTCCGCAGGGTCGCACAGAGACAGACACGGCTGAAGCACTTAGCATGTATGCATGCATTGGAGAAGGAAATGGCAACCCACTCCAGTACTGTTGCCTGGAGGATCCCAGGGACAGAGGAGCCTGGTGGGCTGCCGTCTATGGGGTTGCACAGAGTCGGACACGACTGAGCGACTTAGCAGCAGCAGCGGCAGCAGATCACAGGAAAACATGTGCAAAATCACCAGTTATTACAGAAATTCAAATAAAAAAGACAATGACATATCACCTCACACTGGTCAGAATGGCTAGCACCAAAAGAGTCCACAAACAACAAATACTGGAGAGGGTGTGGAGAGAAGAAAGCCCTCCTGCACTGTCGGTAGGAATGTAAATTGGCACAGCCACTATGGAGGACAGTACCGAGGTTCCTTAAAAAACTACAAATAGAGCCACCATATGACCTTGCAATCCCACTAGTGGGCATATATCTAGAGCAAAACATGGCTCGAAAAGATACATTCACCCCAATGTTCATTGCAGCACCGTCTACACTGGCCAAGACAGGAGACAACCTAAATGTCTATGGACAGAGGAATGGATAAAGGAGAGGTGGCATATACACACATATACACACAATATATATAGACAGCCATTAAAGAAAACGAAATAAGGCCATTTGCAGCAAAATACAGATGGGCCTAGAGAGCGTGACCTTGGGTGAAACAAGTCAGACAGAGAAAGAGAAACATCATATGGCATCCCTTGTATGTGGAAACTAAAAAGAAATGATACAAATGAACTTACTTAGAAAACAGAAAGAGACTCACAGACTTAGAAAACAAACTCAGGGCCCAGCCAAGGGGAAGGGCTAGTTAAGGACTTTGAAAAGGTCATGTACACAGTGCTACATTTAAGGTGGAAAACCAACAAAAACCTATTGTATAGCACATGGAACTCTGTTCAATGTTATGTGCCAACCTGGATGGGAGGGGGCTTTGGGGAAGAATAGATACATGTATATGTACAGCTGAATTCCTTCACTGTTCACTGAAACTATCACAAAATTATTAATCAACTATACTCCAATACGAAATGATTTTGGTGTAAAAATAAATTAATTAATTAAATAAATAAAAAGAGTAGCCTCTTGCTCACAGTAACTAGGGAATGCCTGTGCATAGTAACAAAGACCCAGCATAACAAAAAATAAATTAATTAACTTTAAAAAATTGAAAAGTGTGCATGGAATCTAGAAAAAGATTAAGTAATATGGAAAAAGGTAAAACAGTACCACAATTCTCACTATTTATTTTAAAATTTTTTGATTTTTCATAAAAATTTGTTGCATATATTTACATGTATTGAACTTACTCTTCTTAAAATGAATTAATAATTATTTTAAAAATTTTCAGCTTTAATTCCAATATAATAAATACCAATAGACATAACCCATATAAAGAAAAGCTCTTGGGTGTCTACTTTAGTTTAAAAGAATAAATGGGTCCTTGCATCAAAAGGGCTTCCCTTGAGGTTCAACTAGTAAAGAATCTGCCGGTGATACGGTACACCTCGGTTCAATCCCTGGGTTGGGAAGATCCTCTGGAGAAGGAAAAGGATACCCACTCCAGTATTCTGGCCTAGAGAATTCCATGGACTGTATAGTCCGTGAAGTCGCAAAGAGTCAGACACGATTGAGTGCCTTCACTCACTCACAGTCACCACATCAAAAAGTTTGAGAACTGCTACTCTAGATTCTAAAGAGGGGATATACTTACTTTCACATGTTGGGGAATTATCATTCCAGTTCACATTGTTTTCAGAAATTTCACAATGTAGAATTCTTGCTCCAATCAGATAAAAACTAAATGAGAAAAGAAAAGTTACTATGTTCTTTAGCAATTAGAAGATGTGGATAACAATGAAAAAAAATATTTATAGAGTTGTCTTTCTATACTATAGTAAATTGAGGAAGAAGTTTCTTAAAATACCATGGATATGCTAAATCTGGAACTCAATTGAATAGAGAGTTCTGCATGTGGACCCACTTTGGCCTACAGTAAAATGTATAAATTACTGTCACGCTCGACAGTGTAGCCCGTCTGCTGCCCCTGGCACGTGTATCACACACTGACTTCTACTCTTTGCTCACACCATTTTGCTCAGTAAGGACTAAGCAGAGAGATCAGGGCCCTAGAACTTGCCTGCCTGGATTCAAGGTCCAGCTCCATGACTGCCTTGAGCTTGAGAAATCCCTTAATGCTTCCTTGATGCTTTCCCTACACAACTCATGGGATTGTTCTTAGGATTGGATGAGTTAGCCTCTGGCACATACTGAGTACTAGGCAAGTTTTAACTCTTATTAATATTTTTTAGATCAGAATACACACCCACCTTATTTTATTGCTCTTAAACTTTTTGAGATTTTAACAAACTGAAGGTGCGTGGCAACCGTGCATCAAGCAAGTTTATTTGGGCCATTTTCCCAACAATGCTTGCTCAGTTTATTTCTCTTGTCACATTTTGGTAAATATCACATATTCCAAACTTTATAACTATCATTATATTTGTTGTGGTCATCTGTGATCAATGCTATTGAATGTTACTACTCTGACTTACAGCAGGCTCAGATTTGGCAATATGCTATTTTAAAGTTAATGTATGTACACTTTTTAGATACAGTTCTACTACACTCTTAGTAGACTATGGTATATGTTGTTGCTGTTGTTTTTGTAAGCATATGTAAAAAATTCATTTGACTTGCTCTATTGTGGTGGTCTGGAACTGAACCTGCAACATCTCCAAGGTATGTCTTCACCTTCCTAGGATTATGGGCTCCTCTGGTGGCTCAAGGGTAAAGAATTTGCCTGCAGTGCAGGAGACCCAGGTTCGATCCCTGGGTTGGGAAGATCCCTTGGAGTAGGAAATGGTAACCCACTCCAGTTTTCTTGCCTAGAGAAGCCCATGGACAAAGGAGCCCAGCAGGCTACAGTTTATAGGGTTGCAAAGACTCAGACATGACTCAGTCACTTGACTTCTTAGGAATAGCTCAGGAATACTCCTACTTGATGAAATCTCTGATGATTTAAATTCACAATACACACTCTCCTCCTTCTGGAAGTTCATTGTAATGATTGTGAGTGATTCTATCTATTTGATACTTTTTATTTACTACTATGCTTTGACCCCTCTCTGTATATGCTGTATTTCTCAAGAAGGATACAACTTCTTTAGGAAAAATCTACATATTAGAGTTTTGTCATCCCTCAAAGTATCTAGCTGAGCCTCTCTATATAAATATTCACTGAATGTTCCATTATTTTTAATTGACTACATTAAAAACTACCCTATCTGCTTCCAGCTGCCTTTTCCCACAAGGCTCACTCATTGATTTCAGATTGCAATGTGTATTTCTTTTTTCTTTTCCATTTTGCAATGCGTATTTCTGGGATGACAGCAATTTAAGAGGCATCAGGAATCTGTCTCCCCACCTCGATAACAACTGCATAGGTAGAATCTGCCCGATGTCACTATTTTGGAACTCTGCCTTCTGTTGATGGTTTACAGTTTCCAGGTGAAGATGTAGACAGGTAAATTGACTTGCTTTGGTCAATTTCCACTCTTGTTTAGCACAGTGGTAGCTACCCATCCTCACCCAGAGCAGTGTGGCAGGGATCTCTGCATGATCTCTGCATCAGAGCAGCTTACAAGTTGCTTATGGGAGCCAAGGTGGTCAAAAAGGACACTGCCCTCCAAATATGAGGATCTGTGTTCTTATCACTGATTGCTGCTTCTGATCACAGATAATCAAAGAGATGGACTTCCATTCTTGTCACACCTCTCCCCATTCTTGCAAGCCCCTTCTATCCTGGATGAAGTAACTTAAAGGGGCTTAAATATTTTTTGGCCTTTGTTCTGCCTTTCATGTTTGCTTTTTCCCCTTTCAGGAGGCAGACATTCACCATCAGGACATTCAAAAGCAACTGCATATGTAGGGGAAATAAGTAAGTGATAGTGTATGCTCAGGAAGGACCTGAGACAATCTTCAGTTTATATATCAGACTGATCTTCATCACAGAGATACAAAAAAACATTAACTCGAAAGAGCAACCCCCAGGTAACAGGGGAAATCTAATTTTCAGAATTACCAAAGTATTAGATTCAAGTGTTTTTTGTTCAGTAAGAAAATCACAACACATACAAAGAAACAGGGATGCGAGCCATTCAAAGGAAGAAATAAAGGAAATTGTCTTTGAAAGAGAACTGATGGCAGACGAACTAGACAAAGACTAAAATAACTGTCTTATGAAGGCATTTGCAGTGGTAAATCAATTAATGTCAGTTCTGCTGTCTGATTTTTTTTCAATGAGGGGGCTAAGTGGGAGACATAGTGCTGCAGATCTTTATGAACACCCTGCAAATAAGAACATCACTCTCAGGGTCAAGTTCAATGTCACCATTGAGAATATCAAAGCTAAAACCCAAGAAAAGGAAGACATCCTGTTTGCCTAACAGTTTTGAATTTCGGGGGCAAATGGCTGGAGGGTGACCACACACTCCCAGACCGCAAATTCAAGAAAGGATTCAACCTCACTTGGTGCTTTGCCTGTGGGGTGGCATCACCGGGGCTTCCTTCCACAAGTTTGCCCCAAAATACACCACCAGTAAACGACCTCTCACAAGTATTTGCTCACTTCAATCTCAGTGCTGCCAACTGCCACAAGAAGAAATGTGTCCACACTGGCAACCTGCACCTCCAGAAGAACATTAAATGATTCCCATACTTTGGTGCCTCTTTGCTGGCAGGGAGGTCTCTCCCTGGGGTCTCTTCCAGGACCCCAAGGTCCTGGGCCCCCAAAAAAATTTGACAGAAAAAAATGACTGCCTTAATGATGCTTAAAAAACTAAAGGAAGAAGTTTAGAAAATCAAGAAAAGATGTGTGAAATATGGAAATCTCAAACAGGAGACAGGAAAACTAGAAAGAAGCCTAAAGGAAATCCTGGAGTTGAAAAGTTGTCCCGTTGCTAAGTCAAGTCCTACTCATTGTGACCCCCATGGGCTGCAGCACGTCAGGCTCCCCTCTTCTTTACTATCTCCTGGAGTTTGCTCAAACTCACGTCCACTGAGTCAGTGATGCCATCCAACCACCGCATCCCCTGCCGCTCCCTTCTCCTCTTGCCTTCAACTTTTCCCAGCACCGCTAGGTTCATTGCTGCATAAGGTAGACAAGATACAGTAGCTAACTATATGCCCTTCAGGAGACTAAAGAGATTAAGAACATATGGATAAACAAACACAATGGACTATAGCTCAGCCATAAAAACAGGCAAATCTTGCCATTAGCAACAACATAGGATACGCCTAGAGAATATCATGCAAAGTGAGAAAAGCAAGAAAGAGAAATATAAATATTGCATGATTTCATCTATAAGTGCAATTAAACACAAAGCAAATGAGAAACAACAAAACAGAAACACACTCCAGTCACAGAGAACAAAAAAGTGGTTTCCGGAGGGAGGGGGTGGAGGGAGAAATGAATTAGGTGAGTGAAATGAAGAGGTACAAATTTCCAGTTATGAAAGAAAGAGGTTATGAGACTGAAAGTAGGAAACCAGTAATAACTGTGCAAAACCTTGTATGGTGACAGATGATAACTAGATCATGGTAATCACTTTTAAATATATAGAAATATCAATACCTATGTGATGTACCTGAAGTAATTTAATTTGTAGGTAAATTATTCTTCAATTAAAGTAAGAAACCTAATGTTACAACTTAAGAAATTAGTGAAAGAAGATTTCAACCCAAAACTACCAGAAGGAAGTAAATAATAAAGATTAAAGCAGTAAAATAGAGAAGAGAAATTAGTAAAGAACATCAATGAAACCAAAAGTTGGTTTTCCAAAAGAGCAAAGACACTGACAAACCCTTAGTTAGATGGACTAAGAAAAAAAGAAAAATCTAAATTACCCAAATCAGAAATTAAATGGGGATATTATCACTTAGGTCTACAGAATTAAAAATATTATGAGACCTCTATGAATAATTTTATGCCAACAAATGATAGCCTAGATACAATGAACAAATCCATGTAAACACAGTATCTACCAAAACTTCATTAAAAAATTACAAAATTTGAATTGAATATGACTTGAGTATGACAAAATATGAATTGAATATGAAGTGAGTAGATTGAATCAGTAACCAAAAGTCTTCCATTAAAGAAAAAGTCCTGAATCTGATGTTTTTCAACTCTTTAATTCTGCCAGATGTTTAAAAGAGAAGTTATGCCAATCCTTCTACAAGAGGGGGATTTCAAGATGGCTGAGAAGTAAAACATAGAAACCATCTTCCTCACCACAAATACACCAAAATAAATCTGCATGTGGAACAACTCCTATAGAATATCTACGGAATGCTGGCAGAGACCCCAGACTTCCAAAAAGGCAAGCTAATTTCCACAGGGTAGGGCAAAAGAAATTAAAAAAAAAAGGAGACAAAGGTATGGGGACATGTCCTGTGCCTCTGGGAGGGAGCTCTGAAGGAGGGAACGTTTCCACACACTAGGAGACCCCCTGATGGGCGGAGGTAGGGGTGAGCTTCAGAACCTCAGAGGGGAGCAGAGCAACAGGCATTTGGAAAAAGAAGTGGCAAGACTTCACCACAGACATCAGTGCTGACGGCACTCCCCAGTCTGACATTTGCTAGCTTGCCGGCCATGCCAAGCGGCGGCTGGGTGCTGAGGCTCAGGCTTTGGAGATCAGACCACAGGGAGAGGACTGGGGTCGAGTGTCATGATGAAAGCCTGAAGGGCCCAGGGCGACACAGCCGAGGGACTCCGGGAAAAGCCTGTGCCAGCCAGA